TTTTTTAGTTTATCTTAGTGGAGTTTATCTTATCTCACTGAGCTTCTTGACGTGAAGATTAACATTTTTTCATCACATTTTAAAAGTTTATTTTATTTATTGCAGTACTGGAGATTGAACTCAGGACCCCATACTTGCCAGGCAAGTGCTTATTCTATGAGCTATCTCCCCGGACCCAAAAGTTTTTTTATTTTAAAGATATTTTCTCTTTACTTTTTCAGGATAAGTTCTTGCTATACGTAGTTGAGGCTGGCCTTGAACGTCTGGTGATTTTCCTGCCTCAGCCGCCTCTGTGTTGGGATTACAAGTGTGCACCACCATGCTCAGCAACTTTGGAAAGTTTTGACAGTAATTTCTTTAAATGTCCTTTTTTCATTTTTCTTTCCTTTGAGGACTTCCCTGATAAGCCTGTTGGTAAACTGTTGGTGTCCCACAGGTCTCTGAAGCACTGCTAATTTTTCTTCATTCTTTTTTCTTTTTGTTCCACAGATAATTTCAATTGAACCATCTTAGATTTGCTAATTTTTTTTTTTGCCCACTCAAATTTTGTGTTGAATCTTAATGACTTTTTCATTTCAGCTGTACTTTCTGGTTTCAGAATTTCTACCCAGTTCTTTATAATTTCTATGTACTGATACTCTGGTGAAACATCAGTCATACTTTTCTTTAAATTTTTAAGAGAATTTCCATTAGTTCTTGAATATGTCTAAAATAGCTAACTTAAATGTCTACTAAGGCTAATAACTGGATTTTTTGTGCTGTTTCTATTCCTTGCTGTTACTTCCTTTGCATGGGCCACACTTTTTTTTTTTAAACATTGACCCCTAAATTTTGGCTAAAATTTAGACATTTCAAATGTGACATTCTCAAAGCTAAATTTTCCCCATCTTAAGGGTTTGTTGTTGTGCATGTTTTGGTAGCTGCTATTTAATATTTCCAGGTTTTTTTAAAAAATGTATTTAGAAAAAAAATGTATTTAGGGTCTATAGGGCCTCACTACCTGGATCGGACTCGTAGTGATTCTCCTGTTTTCAACATCTCAAGCTCTGGGATTATAAGCACATGTCACCATGCCCAGTCTCAATCTCTGTTTTAGTGTGCTTTGGGGGCAGGGTCCACATGGCATACCCGGGATTGAACCCTGGCCACTGCACTCTGCCTAAGCAGGCGCTTTAGTCTGCTGAGCTATCTGCTGGTCCTCCAGGTTTTTTGGTTTTGTTTTTTTTAAAGTGTATCTATAGCAGGATTACTGAAATCTGTTCTTGGTTAGCAGAGTGGTTAGCTCGGAAGTGGATGGAGATTTCGGTAAACATCTGGAGTGACCTTGTCTCTTAGTCTTTGCTGAGGGGCTCTGCACACTTTGATATATGTTTTCAATAGGAAGTTTGCAAGTACGTAACCACTTGCATTTTTTTTCTTACACAGAACCTGGAGGTAGTGGTCTCTGGGGGGAATTTCCCAAGTATGGACCTAAGTCTATGTATGCATGTGGCTTTCTTGTTTCCTCAAAATAAACTGGAGCTTTTCAAAGCCTCTATAGACAACTCATTCTTTAGCTTTTTAAGCCTATGTTCCCTAACTATTATCCATTGTCTTAGCCAATTAAAATAGTTGACCCAATTCTCCAACCCTCTCTCCTCTGCTGTGGGAAGCACCTTTAGGACTGGCTAAGTTGTGTGATGGAAATTTAAAAACAAAATTCGAAATCAACCAGTAGGGCTGGCCTGATAGCTCAGCGGACAAAAGCACCTGCTTAGGCAGAATGTAGCAGCTGGAGTTCAAACCCCAGCTTGCTGTGCCAGCTCCACCCCTGGGGTGTGCTGAGACCGTGATTGAGACTGGGTCTGGTGGCCTGAACCTGTAATCCCAGCACTTGGGAGGCTGGAAACAGGCAAATCACTGCGAGTCTGATCTATGTAGTGAGACCCTGTAGACTCTGTTCTAAATAAAGGAAAAAAAAAAAATCAACCAGTAGTCTGACACCACATTAGAGCACAGTGAGAGTGTGCAGCCCACCACGCAGCTCATCCCAGCCTTGACTGACTACACCGCAGTGGACCTGGCCCAGGGTGGTCTGGCCACACCCAACTGCGCAGCCTGAACTTTCTTGTCCTCAAACACATGGTTGGCTAACTTGTCTCAGGGACCTTCTGCTCAGCAACCATGCTACCTAATAAAATTCACCACACTTTTAAGCCTCTGTACTTCCTGCTCTCAACTTAATAAAATTGGTTGCTTTCCAACTCCTTGGCGCAGAGCGCTTTTCTATTTGGTTGGGTTCCTCAACAGTTGCAGTGGCTAAAGGCAAGTCTTTTCAAAGGGTCTCCCAGGGAATACTAAATAGGTCACATAATGAATTTTCTGTGGAAATAAGGGTTTGAAAGAGCACCAGCCTTCTCTGCCCGCCTCATACAGGCACAGGGAATGTGAGCTGATATTTTTCAAGTTGCCATGCAACTAGAAAGGAAAATATGAATAGAGTAAGTTAAAATGTTTATAAAGAACCAAGTGTGGGGCTGGGGAAATAGCTCAGTGGCATAAGTGCCTGCCTAGCAAGTACAAGGTCCCGAGTTCGATCCCAGGTGTAGTGGTGCATGCCTATAATCCTAGCTCCCAGGAGGCTGAGGCAGGAGAATTAACACGAGTTTGAGAACAGCCTGGGCTAAAAGTGAGTTCAAGGCAAGTACAAAATGCTTGTAAACATTGCTGCTCTTAGCAAGACTCAGCTGGTCTTTTTTTTTTTTTTTTTTGATGTTGTAAAATCAAAGTACTACTTTATTAAATGAGTTATTTTACACAATATGAACATCAATATAATTACAATTGTAAAAAATTTTTGTAACAAGGATGGACTAATTTTCAGATTTCCAAATCAGTCAACTGTACATTTACACAGAATTGTCTCTGCATGAAGCCCAAAAGGGAACAGCATAAAGATGAGTGTTTCTGTAGCCCCTTTATTTTTGCTGATCAACAGTTAGAAAAGCAGCTGCAGGCTTGTTACCTAAGGTCTGCGACAGTAGAAGAGTCAAAGGTACCATGAGTTCACCTGTAGACAATTTTGTGCTTGCATATCAGCCCGTTCTGGAGGAAGCAGGGTCTTAGGATGCTCGCTCTCAAAGTGCTGCTTGAAGGTCTCAGGGCGTGGCACTTGTGTCCTGCAGACAGTGCAGGTGTACATGAAGGCAGCTTTGGCAGCAGCCTTTTGATCATGCCCTTGTTTCTTCTTTTGTCCAGCCTGCTTTTTGGCATTTTTCGGCTGAGACTGAATCTTCTGCTGTCGGCGAGCCATATCGGGGCCGGTCTTGTGTCGGGGAGGCCACGCAGCGCGGGAGCCGGGAGCTCGCGGAGGAAGGCAGGGGTGGGCGCCCGGCACCGCTTCGGCCTCCTTCACGCGTCAAGAAGAGGAACGAGCACCGCCGATATCACGACAGCCCGCGCTCCGCGCCGCCACTGCCTGAGGCCGGCCGGCCCTCAGCTGGTCTTTTTTGACTAAATGCTAAACAAGTTGGTGCAAGCCGTTGGTTAATTTCCAAAGCTCTGAAAAAGTTGACAATTTTTGCTATTTTTTCCCCATTGTTTTTAAGAAAGGGCCAACTTGTAAGTCCGTAAGCTATTTTCACGGGCACCACCTTTCCTTTAAAAATGTTATTGTAAAGACAACAAAACTGCAACTAAACTGCTTAAAATAAGTATTTACACAATAAAAAATTAAAGTCCAAGAGAAAACTGGCTCCAGGCCTTCCCTAATTAAACCAACCCACTTCCCTTTGTCCCTCTATCTTGTCTTCCTTACACTAAATAATTTCATACTTGGGGAAGTGTTGGAGACTGAAATTAAAGACTCGTGCTTCACACTATGCTCCCCAACTCCACTGAAATTTTTTTAAAAAATTTCGTAGTATTTCTGAAGTTAGAATTTTACATACATGTGATATTATACCCAGTCCACCATCTTTCTGCCCCTCCCCTCATCTTGCCTTTTTAACTCTCCAAAACCAAATTCCCGTCCTTCCACAGTTTCTTCAAGGCTCATTCAAAAAATATCCAGCTACAGATAGCACAATCAGGACTTTTTTTTCTGACATTTCTACACAGCAAGCCTTCTCAACCCATCGCGGGAGCCCTTCTAGGTCAAGAAGGTCAATGGATGCGGGTTAGAGCTGCGTGCTCATTTGCATAACGGTCAGCCAATTGGTTCTCACTGGTGCGTCCTGCGTGCGTCAACACTGAAGCTTGACTTCTGGAAGATTCTGGAAGCTAGACTACAAGGGTAGGGGTGGGAGGGACAGGCCAAAGGTCACGTGACTTTGAAATCTCTGTCATTTCCAGATAACTTACCTCAGGGTCTTGCGCGACCCACATAGCACCCAATACACACTTTCGCTCTCACGACTTTAAAGTTTTTCCACCTTTATTTAGCGAGGGCGGGAGGTTTCCACCTGCTTTTTAAAAGGCCCGTTGCATTTTATATTTGAAACCGGGGACCCTCTGCGAGGGTGCGGAAGCGACAGCCGCTGGACAACCCGCTTCGGGTCACTTTGTAGACTTTGGCTGGAGAGGGGGGCGTCCCTAACTCTCCGGCCCCGCGCCCCCCGCGCCGGGCTCGGCGGCCCCG